CCGTCTCCGCCCACCTCCCGTCTCCGCCCACCTGCCGTCTCCGCCCACCTGCCGTCTCCGCCCACCTGCCGTCTCCGCCCACCTCCCGTCTCCGCCCACCTGCCGTCTCCGCCCACCTGTCCTCCTGTTATGCAACACCAAGCTGGCCAGCATCTCTTTGAACACTTTCTTCCTGATTCGCCTGGGCTGTTGCCTCCCGTGTGCTAATGGTCCTGAATCTCCTTCCCAGGCTCGGCCTGTAGCTGAGGCCCTCCGCAGCACGGGCCTCCTCACATCCCTTGTGGTGCTCAGCCCTCTGCCACAGTGGAACCCATCAACCGGGCCCTGAGGGACACTGTCACTAAACTATCCCTTGAATTACATTCAGAGTGGACAAACTCCTTCCCTCGGCCCTCCCTAGTCGGCCCTCCCAAAGGAGCCTTCGCCATGTCCCCTGCTGAGCTCCTACTGGAGGCCCACCTCCCTGCGCAGCTCACCTCCCCGGAGTCTCCACTGCCCCCTTGCTCCTCCTCTTTTCTGGAACCTTCTCTGGCAATACAGCCATGCTGTTCTGGCCAAGCCTAGCCCTGCCTCTTCCCCTTCTCCTCCTGTGTCTCCTAGGGACACCTTTATTCCCTCCAACAGCTCCCCCCCCCCTAATCCTATGCAAAATGGACTGGACCGTGTCCCCTGTCTGGTCATCTTCCACTCCTTCCGCGGTCCGCCGTGGCGGCAGGCCACATTGGGTTCCTAAGTCCCATTGAAAACATTTTTCTCCACCGCTTTATACAGTGACCCCCACACGCCCCTCTAGCTGCGTTTCTCCCTGGCCGGGACCCCCCCCCCCATCTTCCTTCCATCTCTGAGCACCACAGGCACACGGCGGGACCCTGGGTGCCGTCCTTCCTTTTATCACTTTTCCTCCCCCCTCCTCCTGCGGGGCAAGCCATGCTAACCAGGCCATCCCCGTCCAAGGGGCTTCTTAAGGCCCAAAAGGTGAACTTTGTCAGTATCTACGGGAGGAACGCTCGGGTTTTTTTGAGTATTTATTGTTTGAGTTGCATTTGGACACAATGCCTTTATTTTGTTTATTTTTCTGTGGTGCTGAGGATTGAAACCAGGTCCTGGACCGTGCTAGGTGAGCGCTCTCCAGCTCAGCCCCAGCCCCAGCCCCCACCCACCAGGAACGCAGTTTTATGTCAATCAGTCCTCAATCCGGCATAGGAAAGGACCAGACAAAACAACTCCCACAGGACCTTGAACATCCCCCTCTGCTGAGGGGTGGCAGCTAAGTCACCCCTTCTCCATGGGACGCTGCTGTAAATGCTTGCTCCCTGGGTCCTTAGATTAGCTCAAGACCAGATCCCCAACATCTCCAACCAAACTCTAAAACCGCTTTTGTTACTGAAATACTCATCCCTCACCAGAAATTGGGGCACTGGGGACAGCCTCCCACCATCACTCAACCACTGTCATGGTTCCAATGACATCCTGGGCCCCTAAAGAAGGATTCAAAGGCTGCTCCTTCCCAGCAGGGTGCAGTGACAGCAGATTGACCTATGACCTCGTTCCTAAGGGGCCCAATAAAAAAAAGGGGGGGGGAGGGAGGATGTGAGGTCCTTGCTTAGCATCTGGATGGCCATGCTAAGTGACAGTTTCTGAAAGTTTTGCGTTCCCACCCCAGGGTGTTTCTGAGAAAGGCTGGCCACTCCCTGGTGCCAACCCAACCCTTCACCACCTGCATGAGGACCTGTCAGCTCTAATCCCTAAGCCTCCCCAGAAAAAAATCCCCAACACAAAGCCTGTACTGCCTGTCTGCCTCTGTGGACAGATGGCCTTTATTTATAAACTGTCATGTGTACCTCTGCCTAGTCTCTGTCTTTCACTTCTCAACTCCCATTTCCTGCTTTCTCACTTTCCTTTCACTCAGCCCTTTTTATTTATTTATTTATTTGGAGACAGGGCCTCATTAAGTTGCTTAGGGCCTCACGAAATTGCAGAGGCTGGCCTCTAACTTGTGATCCTCCTGCCTCAACCTCCTGAGTTGCTGGGATGACAGGTGTGAGCCATCACCCCTGGGTTCTGTTTCCCTTTTCAATTTTTTGGACACAATACCTTTGTTCCATTTATGTAATTTTATGTGGTGCCAGAGGATCGAACCCAGAGCCTCCCACAGGCTGGGCAAGTGCTCTGCCACTGAGCCCCAGCCCCAGCCCCAGACAGGTGGGTGTGTCAGAAGCTGGGCTCCTTTCCACTGGCTTCCAGGACTTTCTAAAGCTGCCATTGACAGAGCTGAGGTGCTTTTCTCCTCTTAATGTCTAGGACACTCAAAACAGGGCGAGAATTTCTCAGTGTGGAACCTAGAAGCACTGGGATCTGTGTAGCGCCACTGAGATCCCACAGGAGCCGATCAGGACAAGATAGAGCAGTCGGGTGGGGTTTGCTGAGACAAGCCTGGCCCTGCAGAAAGGAGGGAAGGGAAGGGGCCCCCACCCCTGATGGGTTATCTTGTTGAGATGTCGCCTAGTAGGAGAGATTTTCTCATGAGAACAGGGCACCCTCCCCTGCGAGCCGGTTGACACTGAGATGACAGGTGTGAGTGGTATTAAGGTGAAACTTACTGGTTTTATCTTAATGCCATCAGAGCTGCAGCAACCACCTGAGGAATGTGCATGTTGACATTGCTGAGCTCCGGGTTAACTGGTGGCTCCACCGTAGCCCTGGGGGGTTCCCAGGTTCCTGGAGAAAAGGGCGGGGATGACAGGGACGGCGGGTGGGAAGGGGACTCTGTCCAGGAGGGGCTGCGACTTCTGTGCTCCAAGCTCCAATGGAGAGCACTGTCATGAGATGGGAGGAGGACGGGAGGAAGGGGGAGGAGGGAGGGGAGGGGGAGGGGGAGGGGAGGAGAGGGGG